AATTCGATCGTCCGCCGCGGACTCGTGTACTCGATGGTTATTATTCCGCGACACGCGATTTTTTTTCTACTAACTGACAATGAGAAGTGGAATGAACGGAAATCAAATTTCCTCTCAAATAGTGTTCGAAATAAATTAAAAGAAAATAATCGAGAGAAACAAACCGGAGTGAGTGTTGTTTCTAACACTCCAACGCTCTCTCAAATGAACAAGACGATTAAAATCAGGCTGCTAGATAAACAGCTAAATTAGTTATTCTACACGCAGTTTCTAATGACTCACTCTTTATATTCGTCACAGATCGAGAAGTCCGCGATAACTCGGAGACAACACGGTCGCGGTTATCCGGGGAATCGGAGGAGCGATCGATCGAGGGAACTCTTTGCCCGGCATTAATTCGTAACGTCGTCATTTCCCGCGGCCGGCCCGCCCCGCCCGCCGCATACGGAACGTCGTATATGGAAATATCAAAAGTCCGCGCGTGTCGCGGCGATAATCGTGAAAGCGAATTAGCCGTCTCTCGTTTCGCCGTATAAACTCCCGTATAGAAAAGTAAATTTAATAACGCCGTATATGGCGAAAGGGTTAACGAGCTCCGCCGAGCGCTCCGCGTAACTTCGCGACCGCGCAAATTGGATTATCAAGCCGCGCGATATTCCACCTGTTATACGAATACCGAGCACACTGCGGGTTATTACGGTAAAATTAGGCGCGCGATGCGCGGGATGGAGATATACATCGATTAAGAGAGGCCCGCCCGCTCCACGGACGCGCGTACGAGAATAATCCCGAGCGTTGCGTGCAGCTCACGGCGGCGCTTACGGCGACATCGAGCTATACGCATCTCACGGGAAGAGAGAGAGAGAGAGAGAGAGAGATTTCGTGGACCGAGGAAACGGAGAAACGCGGGCGAATGTCATTTGACGCACGTAACGTCGCGTCGCGCAGCTATAAAGAGGAGAGGCGCCTCGAGTTTCTCGAAACTTCGAACTTTCGTCCGGGACGACGACGGGATTAAATCATCGATTAAATCAATTCCGTGACTCGTAAACAGTGACGAGATCAAATTATATAAATGAGATTCGTAGGAGGTATATCTCTTTGGCAATAATAACGTATATAACAAGACGGTCTGTGAGAGATTCTACACTGACCTCTTTAAAATTGAGACATTCGCTCTCACGCTCGTCGCTTCAATTTCGCACACTATTCTCTGATCGTAATTGTCATTTTAAAGCCTGTTGTACGTTGCACATTTTCCCCCCTCCCTCTCTCTCTCTGTTACCCGCATCTACATCTCGTGTGTCTCGACAATGTAATACGGCACGCCGGGACGTGTAAACCTATCGCGCAGTTAGCCTCGCTCGCTCGCTCGCGCTGCCACGAGATAATTCTGCCCGGTACGATAATTAAACGCACGATGTGTTTCTCGGCGCGTATCGATTCGCGTCGCGCCGCGTCCCCGGTATATCTCCCGGAGCGGCTCCGTCGTCTCTTCCTCTCAGCGTGCGCGACCGCTCTATAATAATCCCCGAAGCTCCACGAAGCGACCTTCGAACTCGCGCGTCGTTTATCGCGATGAATAAAAGAATTATATTACCGCCGCGCCGCGCGCGCTATCGCGCCACGCGCGTAAAAAGGAAAAAAAATCCAGTAAAACGCGCTGTAAAAAGACGCGTCGGGGAAATGAAATCTTTGGGAGAGAAGAGAAAGAGAGAGGTAGTATTATATCAAGCGAATTATCGAGGATCGGAGCAGCGCGTTTTCCTTTCTTTCTTTCGTCAACCGCGCGCGCGAAGGCAAGAGCATCGGAGAAGGCGTATCGCAGCGCGAGATTACCCGAGTTTGAACAAGAAATGTCGATTACGGGACGCGGGCACATCGGCGTTAATTAAACTTTCTTTCTTCTCTCTATATCTGCGTTATCTCTCGAGCGCATCGGCTGGCTAATCTCTCGCTCTTTGTGGCAGGAAAGAGACCGCGTCGTCCAAGCGGTCACCACCTATCGGACTCTCCGTTAGCCGCGCGCAAAGAAGAATCCCCCTTTTTTCCCTCCCCTCCTCCCTCGCCGTCGCGAGTTCTGCAACGGACGGCATCGGATGAAACCGCGTTGTTTCCGAGGCGATCCGAACGGAAAGAGAGAGAAAGAAACGCCCGCGATCGGAGCGTCGTTGAAATAAAGAGTCGTTCGTCGCGAGCCACGATGAACAAATTCGCACATCGTCGATCGGAATTAATCTATATATATATATATATCTATATATATATACATATATATATATCTATATATATATATATATATATAGAGAGAGAGAGAGAGAGAGAGAGAGAGAGAGAGATCGCGCCGATGTAACTGACCTTCGCAAGTCCCTGGCGACGCTGAAAACGCGACCTGCACACCGCCCTCGCCGTCGCGTTTTCGTCGCGTACGTCGCATGTACCTACGAACCGCATGCGAAATACATATCGACCCGTCCCATTATACGTGCGTCAGTGCTACGAGAGATCCGGCCACGGTGGATATAGAGACCGTCGTCGACCGCTTTATTTTTACACGCGCGCGTGGTGCTAAAGGTGCGCTCTCCGCCGCGCTCGGTGTGTCACTTCCTCCGCGCCTCGCCTCGCCTCGAATTCGCCGCGAACCGCGAACCGAGTGTGACGTCTCAATTAAACGTTCCTCGCTGTCCATCGCTCCCTTCGCCTTCTCTCTCTTTGTCTCCGCGGTCCTGGATTCTCGAGGAGGGACGGGCCACGGAATTCGGAGCCGAGTTTCGAGCGAGGAGAGACCGAAGAGCATTGAGAGAGCGACGCTCTATTTGTAGAACGGAGGGGGGCGGGAGGGGGGGGGCAAAAAGAAAACGAGGGAAAAGCGAGAGAAGAGGTGAGAGAAAGAGAGAAATGGTCGCGAAGACGCGAGAGAGATGAAGGAGGGAAAAACGGAGGAGAATGGAGGAAGATCCATCATTCCGGGACTGCCGTGTCCCCGAACCCTTATGCACTCGGTTGCACCGTAATAATCAGCGTTACGAAAGCATTATTCTTTTCACGCAAGTGAACTACAAGGACAAAGAGACGGAAGTCCCGTTTGGACGGAAAGTAATCGCCAGGCGTGACATCGGCGCGTTCGACAACAGCGGCACGAAACCACGCGTGATGATTTCGCAAATAAATAACAGAGGCTGCAGGTGTAAACGAGGTATCTTCGAAAGCGCGATGGGAGAGGGGAGACAAGGAGAGAGGGAGGGGGGAAGAGAGAGAGAGAGCCGGACGGACGAAGAGAAAGAGCGCGAAAGAGAGAGGGAGGGAAAACAAAAGGAGTGGCGCGAGCGTGCGAGCGGGACGATGACGACAACACTCGCTCACGCTCGTCCACGCACGAACGAACGCATACGCGCAAGCGCCATGCGAGTCAGCTGGTTAAAAACAGCTGTGTGGCCGAAAAAGCGTCGACAAAGCGGCGACGACGACGACGAGTTTCGCGGACGAGTTAAATGTCCGATGACGAAAATGCGGGGCGAGGCTTTTTTTCTTTGTCTCCCGATATCGCACTCTCGCGAGCCATCACGTCGTGGTGCGGCAATAAATGGCGATTATCACGGCGATTATTGTTCTCGATAAGCGAGCCAGCGATTCGCCACGTGCACGCGCACATTCACACCGCGCGACGCTCTACGCGGAGCGTGAGTGCTGAAAAAACAAGGTGCGCGAGCCTCGGGGAGTCGAAAGACGTGGGAGGGAGAAAAGAATCTTCAAATTTTCATGAAACTTTAAGTTTACCGTGAAAAACGCGATCGAAAACGCGATTCGATCTTCAATTAAAAATCATTATTCTTAGATAATCTTAGATTTTTCGCCGGTAATTTTGCAGATTTACTTGTCCGTTTAAGCTATTCACTAGCAATTCAAAAAAAAAGAGAGACTTCGAACGAAAGAATTTCCTCACAAATAATGAGTTCAGTCTGGGTAGACTTTTAGGATTATCTTCTAAACAAACAACTAACACACAGAATTCTTAATCTTTCTGTTTACATCACCTACACGGAGAGAATTTTTTTTTTAATTTACCCTACAAATCATGTTAATTATGGGACAATATAGTATTTCGGCTAATTTTACTGTGCACTACAATAAGATTTTACAGTAAAATTTATTGTAGTGCACAGTAAAATTTGCCTAAGTACTATATTGTCCCACAATTAACATTTGCAGGGTAAATTTAAAGAAAAATTCTCTCCGTGCAGATGTTACTCGAAAGGAATTTAAACACGACGGTCGATTATCTCTCGACATTCGGTGTCGAAGCTAACAAATTACAAAGCTTCGACACGTTCGAGCGGAATTTCCGAAAGGAAAAGGTCGATCTCGAGCGGTGCTCGGACTCGACGCGAAAGGTTTGTTGCGTTCGCCAGAGGAATATCGGATAATCAAAATTTACAACGGTATTGAGAAAAATCGCCGCCGCCACAGCCGCCACTCCGGCGTTGCTGCTCCTTTTCTCATCCGGAGAGAAATGTTTTCAATCTCCTCATCAGCGAGGAACTCCGGTTTTCTAACTTTATTCAATAACAGAGCTCGACAAACGGCGGGGGGGAGGGGTGGGGGGAGACGGGAAGGGAAACGCGCCAAACCTTTTGCGCCAACTTGATAGATCAAAGGATCCGCGCGCGAGGCGAGGTCTATTCGCACCGTAGCTTTTCAGCACCCTGTATAAAACGCACACACGCACACACATACATACACACACACATATGTATATACACGCGTGCGCGCGCGCACGGAGAGACGCGCGCGTGCAAGGAGGAGGCGCAATGCGATTGCGACTCGCTCTCACGTGCGCCGCCACTACGCGACCCAACAACGTACAGAATCGCACGAGGTACTTATCGGAACGGCTGCGTGGAAGTAGGGGGATGCCCGAGCCTCCTCCTCCCGCCCTCGGAGGGAGGGGAGGGAAGGCGAAGGGCTTTTCATCAAGCTAGGTCTCTCTTCTCCAAGGATACAGTTTGATAACGTCCGTGTCCATGCGTCGCTTGCCGGCGCTGGGGGACGACATATTTATCGGTGCTGCTGCTCGCTCGTCGTCGTCGTCGTCGGCGATGCTGAGTTCGGCTGGGGCCCTTCCTCGCCCCGCGGCGCTCCTGGTAGCGTCCTCCACCACTAACACACCTCCTCCTCCTCCTGCCGCTGCGCGCGTGGATCAGCTGAGCCCGACACAGGCACACTCCGTCGTGGCCCCCGGGAGGGCCCTCCTCGGATAAGCGCCCCCGTCGATTAATGCCCTTCTCGCGCCGCGCGAAGGGAACGGTTCGAGCGAGCTCCTCCGCGGCTCCTCGCGTACTCCGGCACACACACTCTCCGGGCGACGCGCACTTCTGTCCCCCGACGATAATGTAAACCGAGCGTTATATTCAGCGCACTGAGCGACAGAGAGAGAGAGAGAGGGAGATAGAAAGAGAGAGAGCGTCAGCAAGGAGCGAAGAGGGGAGCGCACGGGAGAAGAGCGAGCGAGCGAGCGAAAGAGAGAGAGAGAGAGGCACATAGACGCACACACACACGGACGTCGCGCGCGACGGAGAACAAAAAAATAAATAAATAAAGACGGCACGCTCGCGAACGCTTGGCGATCAACTTAGTCGATCGGGCCGTCCTACACGAAGCTCGTTACTGACCGATGGGCGAGAACGCGAGGCGAGATTCGCAGCACGAGCCGCGAATCGCGACTCTCGGACTCGCGGGACTCTCGAACGCGCGCGACGTGGTATAATCCGTCGCGAGGTGAAAACTGCGTTCGTCCGCGCCGCGCTGCGCTGCGCTGCGTTGCGTCCGTCTTTCTTTTCTTCCTTTCTTCGTTTCCCTCCTCCACGAAGCCGCGCCGTGAGCGTCGCGTGTGCGTCTCTCGCTCTCTCCGTCGCTGTGTATGTGTGCGTGTACATATACAAGCGATGCGTTTCTCTCTCTCTCTCTCTCTCTCTCTTCTCGCCCGCTCTTTGCCCGTGTGTGGAAGAAAAAGCTCAACTAATACCAAACGAGAAAGGGATCGTCCACCTCGTCCTCCTCTCGTCCTTCTCCAAGCGGGGGGTGAGGTGGGGGCGCGGATAGGGGGATCGACTCCTGCTGCGAGTGTCCTCTCGTCGGTCTCCCCTCGCGCACGGACCAGGCCAAGGAAGCCCACACGGGAAGGCTAGAGGATCATTTCGTCAACGTCGTCGTTGTCGTCGTCGATGACGAGACACCGTCGCGCACGTCAACCGTCGTGTTCCCCTCACTCGCGCGAGTCGCTTTCTCTCTCTCCTTCGCTCGCTCTTTTCTTCTTCTTTTCCTCGCTCGCGTGCCCCGTACACACGGAAAAAGAATCCCCGTCGTCTCCTCCTGCCAGAGAGAGAGCCCTAAACGCCAACCGTCGTCGCGTAATAACGCCTGTTCCTTCTCCCTCTCGCGCGCGCGCGCTCCCTTCGCTCTCGCTCTCTCTCTCTCTCTCTCTCGTGCAACCCGCGACCTGTCAATCCACGATCTTCGCCACCATCTGATTGCGTTCTCGTCGCTTGCACACTGGACTCTCCTGGCCCCCGACGGCCGACCGACGCTGCTGCCTCCGACGAGCGACGACAGCGGCGCGCCCGCAGCGCGTGCGCACGATCCTCGCGACGGATCTCTCGAGCTCTCGCAACTCAACTGTGTATAGAGCTCTCGAGAGTGAAGCTGTCCGCGAGAGCTCGCCGCCGAGGAGAGCCGCCATTTCCCATCGCCGACACGCGGCGGGAATTTTGACGCGTATTTGTAATGTATCTTTCGGATTGCTCTTCTTTCGTGATCGTATAACTTTTTTTCCCCCCACCAACTAGAGATGTAAATAGAAAAAAAACCAAATTGTTTTTTTTTATAAAATACGGTTTTTTTTAGAAAAAAACATAAGCCTTGTTTTTTTTCTCAAAATTTTGTTTTTTTCAGCTATCTATTTAATATTTATATTTTGCTTAATATAAGTTAATTTTTCATGATTTTTTATTTTATAGATAGTAGATTTAAATTATCATCATTTTAATCTTTACGCAGAACGAGAAAGCCAATATATTGATTCTGACAATGAGATATATTTTGAAGCAAAGACTTCAATGAATAATTATAATAAATTCTACTTAAGGAAAAGCTGTTTAGAAAAAGAATTAAAACGATTCTCCTTTTGTAAAAGTTAAATGCAGATCACATTAAAATTAATTATACATATAATTATATGAATACTATTTACAATTAATTAGTCGTGCTATTGGAATTAGAAAAAAAACTAAATTTGTATTTTTTAAATGAAATAAAACACGTTTTTTTCTAATGTTTTTTCTGTTAGAAAAAAAAACGTTTTTTTTACATCTCTACCCCCAAGACACGAAAGCGTGGGAAGTGAAAATATTTAGCCTTTGATGACAATGGACGTTTATACGGTATTTTCGCCCTGAAGAAAAATTAGATAATTGCTATACACTCGAATCTGTATATAGGTATTTGAATGCTTGTAATAATCGAGCGACGCATGGATGCTTGTAACTCCATTAGATTCGCCGTGTCGCGCAAAATGCAGGGATGGCTACAACAAATTCGTTTATTTAAAAAGTTTATATAAAAATTATACTAAATTATATAAAAATGTTGCGAGAGTGCAACAGCGCGGTATCGTGATCGCTTGCAGATACAATTTTTTTTTTGGTACAATACGGTTTCTTTTACATAACGACGAAACGACGATGTTGATTATCATTGAAACCATTGGGTCCTGGATTAATTATATATTGGATTATAATTTGGATTAATTATATACTTATATCGGGTAAATTGATCTTCCGTAAACTCCGCTTGTGTGTGTTTAGTTTATAAATATCGCTACATGATTTGATTAATATATAGTAGTACTATAAGCATAAAGTCGACATACGGACAGAAACTCTATTGCACCTTACTTGTAAAACGTTACTTTATAATCAGTGCCTATAGTAAATACTACGTTTAAGTATCTCAATATTACACATTAAATACTAGAGATGTGCGAACAATTTGAATCCGAATTATTTGAAAATTTAGAAACAGAGTAATTCGAATACGAATCACGTGTATTGATCTTATAAAATTTTATAAAATCATGTATATTATAAAATATTATAAAATCGTATATATTTTCCGCTAATATAATTGTATCAAATATTCAAATTTAAATAAGTATTATTTCTCTTACGTAGAAATCCTTTTCTCCATTATATCTATATTCTACGTATTAAAATTCAATCTATTCAACAATAATTATTGCTAATTAGAAGTTATATATTTCAATGATTCGATTCGATTTGACGTCAAGAGACCTTAATTCGCGCATCTCTATTAATTGCATACACAATTATCTATAAAACAATTATCAAACAGTTGCTGATCTAATTTCGAATAATAAATTCGTGCAAAAAGTTATTACGCCCTGTGATTCATAACTTGTCTAAGGTGAAAGACTTGCATTAATACTTTGTATATGTAACAATTAATGCGTATAATAAAAAACGGACACTATAATTGAATGGCAGACCTAAGCAAATTGGCACATTACTTTCCGTACGAAATTGTTACTTTCAAGATGCATGCCGTTGTAAATCATGAATATAATTGACTCTTAATACTATCAATCATGATACATATATCGCGTTACAAATGATAGACGAATGCCCAATAATGATATGTATACATATAATATAATGAGATATCATACGAGGCTTTTTTTTATAATTCGAATTGGGAAGTAAAAACTACACTCTTCTCTTCGCGCGTCTTATATGCTTAAATATATGACAAGTAAATAGGAAAAATGGGAGCTTTCGAATTCTTAGTATATATATATATATATATATATATATATATATGTATATATATGTATATAAATTCATCGTCTAAATCTATTCGTCGTTGATTAACTTCAATAAATCACTTACATAATATTTAACGTAAGATTGGAATGGAAATATCATTAAATTTTCAATGATTTAAGAATAATTAACTGTATAAGTAATAGTTACAGCTCTTATATTAGTAGACGAGTCATATATAAAAAGAAAAATGATTAGAATAGCGCAGGAATACTACCGCTGCTGTATAAGCACATAATACTGAAAGATGTTCTAAAAAATCTTACATGTAGAAAATATGCCAAAGAAAAATTCTTCAATTTTTTTCCTTCCAACATAAGAATTTCAGATTCATTATAAAGTACGTCTTATCCATTAGTAGAAGCTTCATAGAAATGAATTCTATACGCAGTACGGTAATACATCCATATAATACTGTGTAAATCCTATTTCAATTATATAGATTAGCTGCTGTTTACTACATAAAGTCATTTCATCATTTCATCTGATTCGCATATAAAGCATTTGATTCAGAAACGTTTGATTGTCGCTTATGCAATATTTTCCCGAATTTAAGTGATCACGTAGAAAATATTGGTGTAAAAAATTTTACATCAAATATAGATATTATATTAAAATAACATGATTATGTCTGCCGTTTTTATTCTAGTACTTCTTGTATCGCACTTTTTTAAATGCAGTAAAACTCCGTTTATATTCGAACATATCGGGAGACCAGATAGTTCCGATAATCAAATGGTTCGGATAATAGAAATTCATTTAATTCTCATTAATCATTCTTATTAATTTCGATAATAGGAGCTGGACGTTTCAGAAAATTAAGCATGTCGAGCTCTTGTTATCCTAATGGTTCGGATAATAAGAGCTCACCTACGAGTTCATATATTTGAAACTTGTTCGTATAAATGGAGTGCGAATAAGCGTAGTTTTACTGTACGCGATTTTAATTATTACACATCATTTTGTATTTCAATCTATATTTATATATATTTACGTTGCGTTATGCTATATTAATTTTTGTAAATGGTATAAAAAACAAATGTATGGGTATAAAAAACAGATTATCAATTCCACTCCAGAATTTGTGCATATGACAAATACCGACGGATATGGAGATGAAATGACTTATATATTTTTCTTATCATAGATAATACGATGCTATAAATAGGTATATAAAAAAAAACATACTAAAAAACGTTGGAAGCAATAAATAATCAAAGTTGGCATACGAAATTGCCGTAAGTTACCGTAGAAGTATTATCAGTCATTGTGTTTCTAATAAATAGTGAAAGATCTAAGTACAGTTCTACTTACAGATTCTACTTGTAACAATTAAGTACATTATGTATCTATTAAGTGGAGTTTGCTGTGCTGTCCTTGTTTCTTACAAAATGTACACAAATAGAAACATGTACTTTACTCTACTGCGGTTTTTCGTGCAAATGCAGTCAGAGACAGCATCTCGTTAGGATCTGTTGGTAGGGGAGAAAATTCGATCTCTTCACTAATACTGTTCTCTGAAAATTCAAATAATTTGCTTTATTGCATTATGCAAATATGCCAGAAATATGACAGAATTTGATAAAAAATAAATATTTAAAATTAAAAAATTATATATAAGAAAAAAGAATTTCGAATGTATATTTAATTTATAACTAGAAATGTATGTTTCTACTTACCAGATGGCTCGATTGGCCATTGTTTGTGGGAAGGCGCATAGAGACACAATAATGCAATGATGTAAATATTCCACATGCCGTAAACCCCGGTGAAAAAGGCAGAAGTCATTTCCAATTGTATATCTTCGTCCCATTTCCACTGACCTTCTGCAACCTATCCCAAAAACATCACATATATTTAATATAATTCTAAACAATAATGAATACAATTAATTGTATAATTAATTATAAATAAAACATACACGGAGAGAATTTTATTTTAAAATTTATCCTAAAAATCATATGTTAATCGTGAAACAACATAGTATTTCGACAAATTTTACTGTGCACTACAATAAATTTGTTGTAGTATATATTTAAAAAAAATAGTGAAAATCACATAAAGTTCGTCGAAATATATTGTCCTACGATTAACATGATTTTTGCGCTAAAATTTAAAATAAAATTCTCTCCATGTATCGACTTCTTACCTGTCCGAGTATAAAACCAATGACGGTTAACGACGCGCATAATAACGTGGCAATCATTAAGAATTTGAAACGGTATATGACACCCTCATAATGCAGGCGCCGCGCCGAGCTCATGCTAGGTAAAACGGCTCTCTTCATACTAATATTCATAAATACTTTCCATATCATGTAAGATAAAAACAACAGATATACTACGGCCGATATACCAGCCAAAATAATGAAGGATAGCTGTTACTTCATTAAGGAAATCAATTTAGGAAATTATTTTAATGTCAGTTCTTTTTTTAAGATTAAGATACAGCAGATATAATTCAAAAAGGATACTGCCAGTTTCGTGCCAAGATCAGTGACCCAAATTGAATAGAATGGATTTCTCAGTTGTACCCCACGCTCGCACATATCAAATACGAATAGCGAGAGACAGCCGGTGCCCACCGCAGAGAGATGCCGCCAGTAACTTTTCAATGAATTGCTTGTTTCGCCCTCCTGAAACATAAATTATCAATATCTTCCAGGATTAAGAAAACAGAAGTTTCGTATATAAAAGAAAACTTACCTGAATCTAATGAGACCCAAAGATGTGCGCATAAAACAACAAAAATACAAATTATTAGAAGTAATGATTACAATAATTTAATAAGAATTAGAATAATAAAAACTCAGTTTTCTTACCATCAAATGTTCGCCGGCAAATACGAGCCAGAATGACAACAATGTTGCATAAAATACTCCTTGTCGAATGTCACCCAGCAGAAGCATAAATGGCATGTCGAAAGCAAGTGTTAAATATTCCAATGGCACTGAAAGTGACGCAACAATTTTTTACAGATAACTGCGCAAAAATTAAAAAATTCAGAAATTACAAATCAAATATAGAAACGTTTAACATACGATTTAAAACTGTCAAGGCTAATCCCAAAACTAAGAGCATGTATTCCAAAAGGGCGGCCGGTCTGGATAGCATGTACACTCTCCTCATGTGCCAAATCAAAACACTAACCACCACTGGGAAATAAATGGTCTTCAGACTCACCCACACTTTCGTGAATCCACCATTTTGATTAATGGCCTAGATTAACATCAAATGATACACGATTGGGTTAAATAAAATCCGAATTTATCATTCGGAACGTGTGTTTTATATATAATAAGAATCTCACGTTCTGACACTTACTGTAAGCCACAAGTCAACAATGTGTCCCAATCCTTGGTTTTTATCGGGGTCCGAAGGAAGACGAATGTTCAACAGGTAATAATCGTGGTACAAAGATCCCAATTCGAACAATGGCATAACGCTGCAGTTGTAATTATAGTGCTCCAGTGGCTGGAATAAATTAGACATTTAAATTTTGTATTTATATATGGTTACCTAACTTGCATGCACATACAAAAAGCAAATACTTATTAATAATGGCTACGCAAGTAAGTGTACCTACCTTGTCTATGCTGCAGTCCAAAATTCTCTCCACAATAGAAGAAGCGTACGGTTTCCATGCATTATCGGGATCTCCCTTGTTTCGATATGCCAGCCGTGCGTCCAGCGTTATTTTCGTCCTAGGAGCTACGGAGAGAGCTATTGTTAGAATTGTAGTTAACAAAAATTTTAACAGCAGCTAATACATTACCGATTTCAATCTGGCTCGTGTATGAAATATCCACTTGTAAAACACCTATCAAATTTTGCTGCCATCTCGAATAATCAAGTTGCATGCTGTTCCGAGGTACGGGCATCTTAAAAAAATAAAATTATGAGATCTTTAGTTCAAAAGTCCCTTTTAATTATTAATTGCAAGTAATTTTGTATATTATAATGTATACCTGAAAAGTGTATACAACTTGATAAGGCTGCTGATGAATGTCTGAATTAAAGTGATGCATATCGATAGAGGTACACGAGCCTTCTCCTCTCGAGTAAAACCACGTATTTTCATCATGAGTTCCATTAACGACTTTGCACGGTGTACCGAGAATATTCTGACTGCTCGCAGGTGTCGGCGCTAAAAGAAAACGTATATTATTACACACTTTATATTCATCTAAAAGAAAGTTCATCTAAAGTTCATCTAAAAGATAGACGGTTACATTTTAATTAATAAAAAATTTATTATATCTCTAAAGCTACTTTTAAAGGATTTATAATTTATGACGGAATTCAGATAGAGTTCTATTCGTAATTTCAGATTTGAATATTTATATTTATTTGCATAATCCTTTAAACGTTTTATTTTGTGCAGCGTATAAAATTACGAATAGAATTCTATTCTAAATTTTTAGACTTTAAAAATTGTTTAAGGGAGTAACTAATTTCACCGGTTTATAATCGAAAATATAAAATCACATTCTCTGTTTTATGCAAATGAAACAAACGTTATGCTACCCACAAGATTTTGCCTATTTTTAAAAATGAAGAAAGTGATCGCACGTTGGTCTTGAAGCGACTTTAAAATATAATTGTCTAAAGTAGACTTAACACGATAAAAAAAATGTGAGTAAGAAATAGAAAAGGATTTAATACGAACGAATTTCAATCAAGTGTACAATCCAAAATTAGTTTAAAATATCACTGCGTTATTAGTCCCTTGCATAAAAATAGCTACTCTCACGGAGAGAATTTTATTTTGAAATTTACCCTGAAAATCATGTTAATCGTGGGACAACACAGTATTTCGACGAATTTTATATGATTTTCACTATTTTTTTTAAGTATATACTACAACAAATATGGCAGTGCACAGTAAAATTTGTCGAAATACTGTGTTGTTGATTAACAAAATTTTCAGGTCTAAATTAAAAAAAAAAATTCTCTCCGTGTGTATATATAACAAGATGTATAACAAAAAGGAAATGAGATACAATACATTTGCAGTGTATACATTCTCGTATATGCGTAAATCTATTATACAGATGACGATGATGCGCGCGAGCGTGTGTCTGTAGGAATGCGAATCCACGTGCGGTGACGCTCCTCTATACTCACCGATCAGGCCGCCTATTAGGAAGCAAACTATTTGCGCGATTATCAGAAGCACCACCAGCACGGAGAGCTTCTTGCCGCTCAGATTTTCGATTATGGTACCCTGCATCTTCGCGCGCCACTTGCGCCTCACCGTTGTCGCGGCTGTTATTCCGCAGTCACGTTCGCGGGATCTCCGGCGGCCACCGACGCCGAGGTGCACACCGAGCGAAATGACGCGAGACACGGGCGGCAATGAGCGTTCCGGAGCCGGAGCCGGAGATCATCAGTCCCTCAAAATGGAAGCCAGCGAAGCTGGGGAACTCGCCGCGTTCGAGCTCGCGGCATTCGTGAAATTTTCGAATTTCGAGACCTATCGAGCTCTCGCGTCGTCTGTCCGTATCGATCCTTCGCCGCCTGGACGCTTCCGCTCGTTCGGTTCGGCTCTCATCTCGTGAATCTCGTCAGAGAGTAGCCTGAGAGTGAACGTGGACGCATTTTATTGGTGCTTCTGAGCAAAGGTTGCGGCCGAAAAAATTTCAGCGCGATAAGATTCATTTTAATCAAAATATTCTACCGCGAAAATTACAGTCGTATGCACGAAAATTGTTTTAATCGAATGATTTATGATTTTCAAAAAGAGTCGCGTGAAAAATTGCTTCGCAATAATTGTTGCTATCGTTGCAAATAATTAATTGAATATACTTGTAATGAATAATTGTCCCCACACTGATTCAGGCGGAAACCCGTCGCGTTAATCATATAGTAGAGTAAGGAGCGATATATATAAGTATATACTTATATATACTATTTATCGAAATGTCACCTGACTAACAATTAAAGAGTGCAATGTACTTTTAATCAAACTGCTTAACAAACAAACAAAAACCAGAGTCCAATAAAAGGAAAGAAAAAAGTACGCGTGAAGAAATGAGCCTCTATATGAGTAAATTCGTTTTTACCAAATTAAGCTTTGTTCGAATTTAAATGGAAAATATATTTGTATAGAAACACTATAATTAATTAAGATATACTTGTAGAAACACTATAATTAATTAAGATATACTTGTAGAAACACTATAATTAATTAAGACCTACAGATATACGCTTTTATTCATGCTTTTGTCTTTCTTAGGCTTGAACCGCTCCTATTTTCAGTTATTATTTTTACAATGCATTGTTAATCAATTGTAATATGCTGTGGGCATATTATGAGATAGAATCAAACAATATACATAACTTAAGGAAGAAAATCGAAGATGGTTGTGTTACCCGCTGGAAATCAGTCCCGTGGCTACATAGTTGAACTTGCACGCTTTATGCACACAGCGGCGCCAGTAAAGGGATTCGATTTAAAACGCGAGCACGACTCCACTCTCCGAAGTAGGAGTCTCAGATTTATATCTCTTGTTTCGCGAAAATGCAGAAATAATAAAAAGAGAAAGAATTATTCATCACTCTGTCGCTCGCCAGTTCGTTCTCACGCCAGATGACGTCGAATTCACGTGTGACTCGTGTCGACGATGGTCGCGTTTGACGTCTTCTGCAAATGACACTTGCACGGGGGAATGCTGACGACGCTGGGCTGATTCTTCGTTAAATCTTCCTGTTAGATTATTTTTTTAGGTTAAACATGGTAAGGGTTGCCAGTAGCCTATATAATAACTGTGGATGTATCCATTGAATGCATTTTGCTCCTCATCGCGGTTGGTTTCACGTCAAATATATATATATATATATATAGGTCTTTTATACGAATACAATATCTCTCTGCGAGTATTTTCAGAAGCCAGGAATGCAAGATTAAATGTGTATACAAGTCGCAGCAAAGTCGTGCCTATGTATGGTAGTAGCGCAATCTTGCTTGTTTGCGCCAATTTGGATTTGTCAATGTGTTTTTGTTACATCTTCATGTGTTACTTTGAAATGTCTTAGAAAATATATACACTTCTCTTTTCTCATACAATATCATATATGTGTATTTCCGTTTTCACATCATTTTTCTTTTATATAATTTTCCCTGTATATTTTATAATTTTTTACTACTGAATTCTAAGTATAGTACAATACTTAATAGAAAATTTTGAGCTCCTTGCTCATAATTCTTTAAATATATACATATATTTTTTTACACAAGTTTTCCCTATTTCTCATATAATTTTCATTGGAAATTTTAATAAAAAATATGTACTTTCCTTATCATCATTTTTTTTTCTGATGTTATATACTTTACTCCTCGTATAACTTTTCCCCGATTTTCATGCAATTTTTTTATTACTGTTAGATGAAGACTAGTTTACATTAGATATGTGAGACACGTGCATGTCATAAACAAAATTTCAAGAATGGAATCTTGAGTGGAATGCAAATTACTTGGAAATATTTTCAAAATCTTTGGAAAACGTTTGGAAAGCTGCATTTCCAGATCGTTGCGACCAGAATAATTGGCATGATAGAGAAAGATTATGTTTGTATATTTTTTAGTTACGTTGTCATTAACATTTTTTTTTTATCCTTCCTATGTGAACACTTATTTTGAATGCAGAAAATGTGAAAGATGAGCTAGAAGAAGAAATTTATTTATTTTATTATTTAAAATTGCTTATATCTTTTCACATTTTCTGTAGACAGACAGATGTACCCTTCCAAAATTTTAGAAAATATACTGAACATTAGAGAAATCAAGCGGGAAGAACGTCTATATATAAATCTCTCTTTTCACACAAAAATTATCTTTCCAACTTTTCACTTGAAATACTTTCAAGTAATTTTTTATTATTGAAGATAAAACGATTTTAGTAAAATCTATTTAAAGTTTCTATAAATATCCTATAAAAATCTATTCCTTTTTTCTCTCGCCTGTATAAATATAGGTCCATAATCAATATAATCAGAGTTAAAACTGTTAGATTCTTTAATGTTATCTCGATCGTACGCATTATAATTATTGAGTACATAACACAACAAGAATACACGGAAGTATTTGCGGTTTATCACAACCCGGACAAATCGCATTTCGTAGGGGGGTTTCGCGCTTTAATTCAGACGAGGCGGGAAAGCGTGTGTGCGTTGAGCCGTTACCGACCGATCGTCCCCGAAGTTCGGGGCCCGCCCGAACGCGTCCGATCGGAGATCGCGAGCGTCGCGACTCGCGTCGCGAAGGGAAGGCGTCCGGCGGCGCGGCGCGACCGTGTATCGTGTCCGCCGTCGATGGCAGATCGGGGTTAGAGAGTGACCTGAGCGGGGGAAACAAACAGGCTGCGGCGTGGAAAATTCGTGACTCCTGGTGTCGCCCGAGGGAGAAAGAGACTGGCCGACGTCGTAAATGTCAAAGGACTCTCCGGCGACGAGCACCGCGTTCTCGACCGTGAACGTCTCTCCCGCGTAGGCGCGGAGATGGTCTGAGGCACCGAGAGAGAGAGAGTCTCGCGAGTCCGACACCACCCGTCGTCCCCCGTCGGACGGGAGCTTGAAGATGTTGTGTGACGTAGCGATGGACGCGAACGGGAACGGCAAGCGCGATCCTCTCCACGGAGGTCCCGTCTACTTCCATCGGCGCGCGGCCAGCAACGACGTGAGTCGACCGCCCGGGACAAGCACTCGGGGAAATTCGCGTTACGCGAACCAGATCGCAACCACGATCCTAACCTATCCCTCGCCAGCAGACTCGAGCCGAAAGACTTTTCGTGGACGGGCTAAACGTTAAACAAGACTCGCTTCAGGCAATCTGTAACTTGCTCAGATTTCAGGATGGAATTCTGTTAAATTTTATATGCTGGGTATTTTTATGTACTTCAATGTGATATACATATATATGTGTATTCTGACTCTTTAAATACCTTTGTTACACACACACACACACACATATAAAATTGTGAATTATGTCGTGAATTCTGACAAGTATTGATCCTTCAAAAAGGATCTTCAATCTGGCGAATTATAGATCGTTCAAAGTAGGGTTTAAAATAGAATTATTTACAGTTCTATGTGTATTCTTTGTCTTTTGGTATATATATTGTTCAGATACTTCGAGTGCTTCTTGTACTAATAACGAGTCAAAAGTTATATAAATAGAATTTTATTCTTAATACTATAAATTGCCTTGAAATTTTAAAAGAAAAGCGTTCAAAGTCTACAAAGTATCCTAATTTAATTGTCCTTAAAATGACAAATAATCGACAATGATATTTATGGACATATGAAAAATCTAATACATGCTTTTCCCATAGTACATTTTCCCACTGTTTTACGTTTTATTAAAAGTACTGTAGCAAATTTGCAATAACTCGATAGTACTCGATAATACTTGTATTCGGCAGGAGGAAAAATTAAGCAGCTTTTGATGTTCGCCTAATATCATTTCAAGTGTTATTGAACACATGTACATGTCTTATCGTTTTTTTTTATTATTTCAGGAAAGCAACAGAACTACAGATCTGGAGTTTGTTTACGACGACACTGACATACACGCCAATGAAATCGCCGAGTTGTACAGCTATACCGAACAATATGAATTGCAGCTTAATCTTAAGGTATAATTCTGCTGTACCAAGTACCAAGAACGGATCGAACGATCTTTTATAACGAAATGAAATAAAAAAATTATATAATTCCTTTTATCATAATTTCCAGGCGTTTGAGGATCAGATGGAATGGTACAAGCTACGACCGTGGTGGCAAAACTTGACGAAAACACAGCACAGATCGGTGATCCAAAAGCTGCTGAATCAATTGGAGGTTTCCAATAAGCAACTCAGGATGAAAGCGGCGCGTTGTATTCTCTACTTAGCTCAGGGTTGTTGGGCTGAGGTGCAGTCTGACAAGGAACAACAAGACTGGAGTAGGACAAACGTAATGTTACTCTACGAAGCTGGCATTTTTTCAGCGTTTGTTGAACTGCTAAACATTGAGATTGAGTAGGTTTCTTCATACGTGTGTGTGTGTGTGTGTGTGTGTGTGTGTGTGTGTGTGTGTGTGTGTGTGTGTGTGTGTATGTTTATGTGTGCGCGATGCGATTGAATTACTTCTACCAGATAATTTTTGTTTAGAAATAGCACAACTGCTACCTCAGCGATGAGAAAGCTAGCTGTTAGCCTCGCTGATTCGATAGACTTAAGAGTCATTCTGTCCGTTTTATATATTATAACAGAAGTTATGCGAGAGGAATTAAAAGATATCGAGAACAGTGAATATAAAGACAATGTTGAAGGTTTTAAGGAAGATCTTGGTACGTCATTGCGTTTGTGGGAAACATTTTTGTGAGAAAAAAAATTTGGTCTTCTAAAAATGTCTTATTTCCTTTGCAGTAAATCCATACGGAGAAGAATTACTGATCGTTAAACTTCTTAGCATGGTGACGTGTTTCTGCAGCGGCTCGGCGCCGCATTTCCCTATGAAAAAGGTCCTCCTGCTTCTGTGGAAACTGATTCTAGTCTCGCTCGGCGGCATCGACGCACTCAGAGAGTTTAAGAAGCAGTACCGCGAGGAGGCGGGGCTCGATACGCTGCAGGAAGACACTATCGAAGTCGCCAGGACCATGAGAGCTAGCTCGCCGCCTATGAGCGCGGCAGATTTGTTGGAAACGCAAAATCAGAAAAGGAACAATCGGCCTTTTCGACGGGTAATTCGTCCAAAATTATTCCACATATAATTTATTTCGATGCTTTTTTTTTACGCGCGTTAATCATCAAAATGTTTTTCAGAGTTTGATGAAACAAAGTTCGTTAGATGATCCGGGCTTAGGTATGGAATACGAGGGAGGAGAACCTCCAAATAATACTGGAGCAAATGAAGGAGATGGCGAATTGATCGTATTTCTGGGCCCTGGTGGACCCGGCGGCTGGAATCAGTCGTATTACGAAGATCAGACTAATCAGTCGCAATTAAGGCCAGGCACTCCACAGCTTATAAAAGGAAAGGGTAACGTCTTCTTTTAATTCTCTTCCTTTAATTCAAGTATTCTCTTCATATTCAAAATATTAATATCTAATATCTTATTTATATAGGTTTACCATGGACGCCCAAAGTAAGGCAAAAGGACGTGGACACCTTCCTCGAAGTGGCTAGAATGAAGTTTGTCGGTTACAAATTGCAAGGGGATAGAGAGAGTTTAGCTGGTTTGCCACAACCGATTCACGAAGGTGTCACTACCCTTAAAAAGGTAAATTTTGTTGTGATAATCTTGTTCCGAGTCTCAATCTACTGTTGTTATATCCAATAATGTAATATATTTTAGCATATGTACACATCGCTATCGGAAATTCAGATAAAAAAGGAAGAAGAGATAGCGAGAAACCCGATGAGCACTTCAGAACCACCGCTTCGTCAAACACCAACGGAAATTCTTTATCAGGCTATATTACCAAATTTGCCGCAATATATGATCGCTTTGCTGAAAATATTACTTGCTGCTGCACCGACGAGCAAGGCTAAAACGGACAGTATTAATATCTTGGCTGACGTATTGCCGGAGGAGATGCCGTGAGTATAAATGAATAATTATAGATGGCAACATACTGATGTACATAAAATCTTAAAAATAAGAAAAATATCGAATATAATGATTAATTATATTCGATCTTTTAATTAATTGATATTGCGATTGTAAATATATTTTTGCTGAATATATTTTTAATATATATATATATATATATATATATTGCAATTATGCTTACAATTTACAACACGCTTTTAGAATGACGGTGCTGCAATCGATGAAATTAGGAATCGACGTTAACCGGCATAAGGAGATAATTGTTAAAGCCGTTTCTGCAATTTTATTATTGTTGCTCAAGCATTTCAAATTGAATCACGTGTATCAATTCGAGTTTATGTCGCAGCATTTAGTGTTTGCCAATTGCATACCTCTTGTATTGAAGTTTTTAAATCAGAACATCATAGCGTACATTGAAGCGAAGAACGTGTAAGTAAACATGTGAATTGCGACTTAAAAGAGTTTTCCAAGTGTCGTAAAATGTAACCGATAATTTATATCTCAATAGTATTCCCATCTTGGACTTTCCCATGTGTGTCATTGGCGATCAGCCTGAGTTAACTACCGAGAGTCTCGAAATCGGTCATACTCAGTCCTTCTCGTGGAGAAATGTTTTTTCTTGCATCAATTTATTGAGAATTTTGAATAAATTAACCAAGTGGAAACACAGTAGAATAATGGTAAGCCGTTTTTTTTTGTGTTAATCAGTAACACTAAAAATTTTTATATTTATGTTTACGAAGATTAACATATGTCTGGTGCATTTATGTTTGCAGATGTTAGTCGTTTTTAAATCAGCACCTATTTTAAAACGCACGCTAAAAGTCAGGCATGCAATGATGCAATTATACGTTTTAAAATTATTGAAAATGCAGACGAAGTATCTCGGTCGGCAGTGGCGAAAGACGAACATGAAAACTATTAGTGTTATTTATGCGAAGGTGCGACATCGCTTAAATGACGACTGGGCGTACGGCAATGGTAAATAAATTTGAGAACTATTTTGTTTAATACATAATACATTTTTTTTCTTTTATATTAAAAAAGAATATTAAAATTTGGAACATTTTAATAAAATATATTAGATTTTTGCTGTTAAAAGCATCATTTGATTTTTTCATAGGTCGAATTATATACCGCAATTTTTCAGACACATAATAATACGCTATTATTCAATTTCCTACATTCGTGCCGATGGGAACTTTTTTCAATTTATAATGTTTCTGAATTACTGAACAGATTTAGAGGCACGACCGTGGGATTTTCAAGTTGAAGAGTGCGAACTACGTACGTGCGTCGATCAGTTCAATAATCGAAGATACTACAATGTTCCGAGGGACGAAGAAATGGAGCCGGTCGACGCGTCGGTAACGTCCGTGCTCGGTGCGAATGTGGAATTGACCGAGGAGTTTAAGCAACACTACGAATTGTGGTTGCAACAGGAGGTATTTCAGAGGAGTATCAATTGGGACGAATTGCTGGATCCCGCGGCGTGCGAAATCTGAAGTTTCATACAAATACAAAGCGCATGTGAATCGTATTTTCCTTAAATCATAGACCATGAACGGAATTGCGACATTTTTACGAATTACAATACGATTGTGAGAAGTGTTCAAGCAAAAAAAAAAAACATTGCCATATCGACACTGCAAAAATTTCCAAATTGCATTTGATATCGCGATGAATGGTCCTAATTTAGAAAATGTTTAACAAAGAACTTTTTGAGAGAGCTTTCTGGCTGAGACGCGTGAAACATTTCAAATCTTTTTCATATTTAATTTGTGCAATGCAACGTAGTACTTGTAGTTATTTTTTTTATCATTAGGCAGCCAATTTCAAGTAAATGTATAATTCTTTTTTCTTTTACATTAAAAGAGAATATAAAAATTTAAAATATTTTAATAAAATATATTAGATTTTTGCTGTTAAAAGTATATTTGATTTTTCCATAGATTGAACTATTATATATACCATAATTTACAGGCATATAATAATACGCTATTATTCAATTTCCTACATTTTATATATTTTTTACATGTCCTTCCAACCCTTTCTATCGCAGTGAATACATATAATGAACTTCAAGAGAACCTTGATGTACATGCAGAGACCACCTTATTTCCTCCTCTGCACTCTTTGATAATAAATAAAATAAATGAATAAATATATATATATATATATATATAAAATTGTAAAAAATTATTCGCTGTACAGTTTATCAAAATTTTTGGAATGTGACAACAATTGCGTCAACACATTGAAATCTTCCTAGATATCTTAAGATTTGTACTTTGTGTGATAAATCTCATATCACAGTGTTCGACAGTGCTTTCACGGTTTCACCCATTTGTACGAACCGTAATACGCGAAATTATTCTTCTTCGCCATTTCGTCGGCTTCTTTCGGTCCTCGGGATCCATATCTGAAATTTTTAAACGAACAATAATATATATTTCGCACGCGTCAGAAGTACTTGCGCTCCGCGCTTACGTACTTATACGGAATCGGCTGAATGTTTTCCTTTTCGATTCGATGAAGCAGCGGCGTGAATATCCGCCACGCCTCGTGCAACTCGTCGTTTCGCACGAAATGCATTTGCGAACCGCAAAAGACATCCAGAATTAATCTCTCGTAGGCGTCCGGTAATTTAAGACCCTGGAAGGAACATAATTGTAAATTAAATGAGAATGACGTACCTCTACCGCATATTCAATCTTTCATCTTCAACGACAAATTCTTCGACGAAATTACCTTGTATCTGCTGCCATAAGTGAAGTCCAATTCCGTCTCTTCCATGTCGAACGTGATGCCGGGTGACTTCGTCATCATTTTAATGTACAACGCCTCGCCCGGTTGCACCCTTATCACCAACTCGTTCCTCTTCGCCTTCCCGTCGAAGATATCACCCGGTACATCTTGGAACTGTACTCTAACTTCTGCCTTCCTCTCGTTCAGAGCTACGCGGACATCGCGCGGTGGATTAAAGAAAGGGAGTTTTTTATTTAGCCGAGAAACGGACCCATTTTTTCTCCATCTTACCTTTTCCGCATCTCAGGATGAACGGTACACCGTCCCACCTCTCGTTGTTTATCTTCAGCACCGCGAACGCGAATGTCGGCGTGTTCGATCCGGCTGGTACCGTTGCGTCGTCCAGGTAGCCCAAACGCGCCTCCGGATCCTCGGCGTTCGGATCGCCGACGTACTGGCCGAGGACCACCTGGTCGAGGTGCACGTCTCTGATGCATCTGAGTACCTTCACCTTCTCGTTTCTGATGTCGTCCGGTTGACAGGACGCCGGCTTCTCCATGGCCACCAGGGACAAGATCTGCAGCAGGTGGTTCTGCATCACGTCCCTGATGATGCCGAACTCGTCGAAGTAGCCGCCTCTACCCTGAGTGCCGAACGGCTCCTTGAACGTGATCTGCACCGAGGCTATGTTGTCCCGGTTCCACGTCGGATTGAGCACCCTGTTACCGAATCTCAGTGTCATCAGATTCTGCACCATCTCCTTGCCGAGGTAGTGATCGATACGGTAGATTTGCTCCTCGCTGAACAGCGTCGCCAAGTGGTCGGAGAGCTTCTGCGACGAGGCGGCGTCGCGACCGAACGGTTTCTCGATTATAATTCTCGTCCATCCCCTGAAATTTTAATATAGATACGCTAAATATATACTAGATATACATTCTATATATTTATGATTCAATGAAACAAATAAAGGGGGGAAGCTACTTTATAAGATTTAAAAAAACGGTGATTTTTAAGAATTTTTTTTCAACTGAAATGAAACTAAATAATTTCAAAAGTTTAATAATGTTTTACTGTATATTTAAGCAATAAAAAAATTGTTTTATTAATAAATAATAGAATGTCTTGATAACGTTCGCGCCGCTGGAGTTGTGTACAATCTAAGAGACGTAATTTTCGTCTGAAATGAAAAAACCAACTTTTTTCTTAATTTTTATAAAATTATGTTCTATATAAACTAACAATATTATTAAAAAATTAAATTAAACAATTTTTTTGCAAAAAAAGATCAAATTTTTTCATAAAAATTTTAACTTTTTTTTGTCATAACTTATCCAATTTTAAAAATTTTAAAGTTTTGTTAGTTCATATAGAAGATAATTTTATAAAAATTAAAAAAAATCCACCTAGATTGTACACAGTCGAACAACTCCAGCGGCGCGACGTATCAAGACATTCTATTATTTATTAATAAAAAATTTTTTCTTATTGCTCAAATATACAATAAAACACTGTTAAACTTTTGAAATTATTTAATTTTATTTTAGTTAAAAAAAATTCTTAAAAATCACTGTTTTTTTAATCTTGTAAAGTAGATTCCCTTCTTAATTTGTTTCATTAAATTCTAAACATTCTATTATTTATTAAAAAACAAACATATTTATTATTTATTAATAAAAAATTTTTTTTCATCGCTCAAATATACAGTAAAACACTGTTAAATTTTTAAAATTATTCATTTTTATTTTAGTTGAAAAAAAATTTTTAAAAACTGTTTTTTAATCTTGTAGATTCCCCCCTTAAAACTTCAGAAATAATTATATAATCTATTTTTTCTCTTTTCGATTCTTATGTATTGTCCGCTCGTTGCTTATCTTGCTTTAATATGGTTATCTTTCTTATTTAAAAATTTTCATATATCAAAAATTCGTGCTTACTTCTCTGCCATACAGGTAAGTCGAATGCGTATCGTGACGCATTCGAACACGCTCGGTGGTAGTGCCAGATAGAACAACCTGTGCGCGGTGTCCCCTTGCTCGAACTTTTGTAATTCACGATTCAACAGCTCAAAGTCTTTCTTCTGATCGTAGGCGCCAGCGACGTAATGATTCAGCTTCCAAAATTCTTCATATTTCTTCGCCTCTTCGGACTTCACTTTCATGTATGGATGGCATTTCTCACGCAATTGCTGTACTGTCAATCTGCTTCTAGCGTAGCCGACGAAGGTAGTTGGCTTCGGGAGCAGATTGTCTCGGAAGAGCCACCAAAGAGTCGGATAGATTTTCTTCTTGGCAAGGTCACCCTTTTCGTAATTCACAAACGCAATGTTTAGATTAAAAGTTGAAAATGAACTTTTATAAATAAAAATTATTGTATATATTCATTTTATTTATTACATAGTCAATCTCCATAAAAATTACAATCAAATTTTTATCCGAAGAAAAAAATAAAATTTCGTTACTTTGCATATTTTTTTTTATGAAACTCACGGATGCTCCGAAGATGACAAACACATGCGGAATAAGCCTGTCAAAATGAGTTCCCTCCAGATGATCCATTTCTTCCGATTTCAGGGATTGCCTGATATACTGCAGGCTCTCCTCCGTTGATGTTCCTACGGTTAACATTAGTTTTTATTTTATTTTATTTTAGTAACAGTACACCTTTATTTTATGCTATTTTAATTTTGTAATATTTATATAACGCAATTCATCGAATATCGTAAATACCTATTTCAACGAATTAATTATATTTATCAATAAAAGTTTCATTGTGTATCACTTTTTTAATTAAATATTCAATATTTCATCAGTCGCATACAGTTAATTTGTCATTTGTGTTTCGTATATATGTGTGAATAAGTGGAGAATTGATGACAAAGCATATCTTTTTGAATTTGCACGATTTTCAAATAGACACGAAGTTTAAAAAGGTATAATAATGCAGACACTTGACGAATTCATTACTGAATTTAAAAAAACAATTGTGTAATGATTTGCAAATGTATGATGCTTTTTGCGTCATCTTTCTATTTGTAAAATCAAATTTTGAGCCAAGACAATATGACGTGTAATCATTTAAATATTATGGACATATCTATCTATATGTATTTATAAAGAGATAAAACATAATCTTTAATATATCAACTATTTTAATAGTAATTTGTTTTATAAAATTAATTTATGCGGTCTGTTGTTTCACTAATCAACAACACGTAGAATTTCTTATGAATCACATATTTTTCATACCAGTGGCGACGGTGGCAAAATTTTCTGTGCGGCATTCAGTAACACTGTATGCAACGTACATACATTCTCTAAAAGCCCTACTGAGAGTGAACCCCTTGTCCATAATCTCAGTGATTACAATCTAAAAGTGACCTCGAAACTAGTCTATTACATTTGTATCTCTAAGGCGAGAGAAGGCGACAATTCATCACAATTTGTGTGATTAATGCAATTAGGTAATTAAAAATTTTTTGGTAAAATCGCGTCCGTTTGTGCACAGAAACTGCGGTTTTCTCTTTCACTAATATGCAACACGTAGAATTTCTTATAAATCACATAAATTTCAGAGTTTTCATACCGAAATAGTGAATTTCCTGCGCGGACATACAGTAACACTATCCAACGTATATTCTGTAAAAGTTCCACCGTAAGTGAATCCTTGTCTGCATTCTTAGTGTTTAAAATCTAAAAGTGACCTCAAAACTAATCTATTACGTTTATGTTCGTGTCAGTTAACATAAGAAAAAAATATCTTTTAACGTTTACAAGAAAATAGTTATGTTTCCTGTAATTCGACATTTTTCGAAGATAACTGCAAGATTTTTCAAACACTAAAAGCACAAATTGCAAATAAGAATAATTTTCCATAAAAAAAAATCATGTATGTCATACAATGTCCATGCACAAGTTTTTACTTAAAAAAAATTATTTAAAAGTTAAATGAGATTTGATACTTGACACGTAGAAACAAAAAAAGAAAACAAAAAAGTCTAAAAGTCTAAAAGTTTTCGGCCCAAGGATATGATAAAATGAAACAACCATTTTTAATTTTAAATATAATCATCTTTTGTTTTAATATAATTTTTTAAAAGAGTAAATTAATTTTTTTATACCATAAAAAAATATTTCAAATTTTTATTCTTGTGATTAAAATTGTGTAAAATGATTTAACATTATGGAGCTCACTTCTTCACATCACTGGTTTTTTCCACGCAAATTGGACTTCAATTTTAAAAATAACAAATAATCACTTTTATTTTATAAAAAAATTAATTCATCGTTCTAAAAAAAAAATAAAATAAAGGGTAGTTGTATATTAAAAAAAATATAAATGATTGACTTTATCATCTTTTACATCCTTGGGTCGAAAACTTTCGGACTTTCGGACCTTACTATCACATATATCATGTGAAGATTAATATTAAGATTAACGTCTTCTTCGAGAAATTTAAATTTATATAGCATGCTTTGAGGTGTCAAAAATATTCAATAGTCATCACATATTTTATGTATATTTCACACTTAATCACACATAGGTTACAGAATACTTAATATCACTCATACCGCTATTACTCATAATGTGATAAAAAGTAGCGGTAACGCATAATAATCATTTAATTAACATTTCTTAAATCGTAAGTCTATAAACGTTGAAAATCATTAAGCTTTCGGTATATTTATCGAGAAAGGAGAGACCGAGGGAGAGACGAATGAATTTTGACAGTATAAATTTATTGCAGACAAGAGATTCTGACACGTGATATCATTGATCAAAATATACGATTGCTAGTCGCGTATATGGCATTTTAATTCAAATTTCGCCACTTTTTTGGGGGGACGGAAATACGACACGCAAACGTGTAGTTTCGTGTTTCGAACTTACTCGTTAAAATACTCATGGTTTTTCACGGTTTACGAATAAGTCGCACGGAAGAACAGGAGTTGCACTAAAAAGGTCACGTGATCGACTGACTATCGGTGTCACAGCAGGTCTTGCCGATCTCCTTCGACAATCTCGCCGCTTCACCAGCGGAACCTCGACTGAACGTCGGATTTGCCTTGCATGCGCGTACCACGTGCAATCAGGCAAACGTAAACGCTTACGAGGCAATTGTGTGGAGTGGTGCCCTCGATGATAGATAAACCGATCATCCAATCGTTTTCCATAAAAAAAATATGATTCATTATCTCAACGCGAGTTATATTTAAATCAACAGAAACGTAGGTAAGAAATTATACGAAGGAGGTTTCAAAGTGGCGCTCAAAGAGTCAAAGTGTTATTTGCTTATAACAGCATTAATAGTAAACAGTTAATTAAGCAATATAATAAACGTAATAATTTTGAGTGTAAATATATTATTTAAGATAGTTTAATCATTGATTTAGTAAGTATATGCTACTTTTAATATCTCTCCAAGTAAATACTCTTATCGATAATATCTAAACAATTACAAACGCCATCTTGACGTCTTTACACGTAATTTGCCCCTTCCTATTGTTAGTTTTTATTGCTAGTTTTCTGTACGTCAGCATATTTCCTGGCAATCACTCGAATGCAAATAAGTTTTTACATGAAAAGAACGATTTTGTTGAAAGGTCTAAAAATTTTGCTGAATATATAAATCTGAAAATTAATTCTTATTGAATCATCAAAAAATTGTGTTGGAATGTTAACAAGTGATAAGTATTGCTATAAAACGTTTTGATATTCTAGCAATTATTTTGACTTTCCGACAAAATTATTTTGATTATTGAACAAAAATTCTTTTCAGATCTGGATCCAGCAAAATTGTTCTTTCCGTGTACCAAGTGCAAATGAGATAAGGTTTTACCAAGTTCTGATAGTCACGTGGAGCATTCAATGTGATGGAATAACAAGTTTTTTTTACCTGTGAATTAATCTGATTATAACGAGTCGTAAGTCTAATCGAGAGTTTTATTTGCTGTTATATTTTGTTTACATTTTGTTTATATTTTGTGACAAGAGTCGCGCGTAGATTTCTGTTTGCGCAAGTGCAACGTACACTGTGTGCAATGTATTACCTACTGGAGAACGTACGACGCATGGCATAATGATGATTCATTCTTGTGTATCAACAATGTATGTAATAAGTTGCTAAACTCTTGCAATTCGCGCAAAACGCTATTTCTAAACGCCATTTCCACAAACAAAGAAACGGAAACGGCGGCCGTTGGAAACCAACGAGACACCTATGCGAATTCTAATCCGATCTCGAACATCACGGAAACTGAACCGACAATTACGCGAGAGATACTGTATAGTATTATAGTGTATATTATACTCGCATTGTATATTATGGTGTACACGGAAAGAACAATTTTACTGAATTCCATATCTGAAATTGAGCAATCCATATTGAGCAAAATAATTTTTGCTCAATAATCAAAATAATTTTATGCGAAAGTGTCAAAATAATTGCTAGAATATAATATAAAACGTTTTATATCAATGCTTATCAGTTTGATAACATTCCAACAAATTATTTTTATGATTTAACAAAAAATTATCTTCAGATCTGTATTTAGCAAAATTTGTAAACCTTTCAACAAAACCGTTCTTTCAGTTTATTATTATCGTTATTATTATATAGCTATTATTATAAATAATATTATAATTTATGTAGAAATGTGATGGTGAAGACGCGTATATAATAAAGCAAAAAGTAAGTCGCGCTTAAATTCTCTTAAATAATAAGATGTGTATTGTTCCTCCATTCATGTATAGGAACCACAAAGAAATGGGAGAGTATTCACGAATTGCAAAAATAATACTAATAATTCATTTTATTATCAAAAAAGTTAAGGATTAACGTTGCTCATTTTTTTTATTACGCACGCGTAAAAACTGTGCACGCCACGCACGGATCATGTGTGCGAAGATACTCATAATATGTGCACGCTGTACGTCTCATGATAACGATGACTGGCAAATCAATGAACCGCCATCAGAGTGCCAATGAATGCGCGGTTCTTGAAATAACATTGTCGCAATGTAGCGAAGTCTTCTCGCACTTCTATTTTTCAAGGACGACTTCCAATTGCTCGTGACAGTTTTCGTTTTTATCCGACCAATTCCCTGTTTGATTTCTCGCAATTAGGGCTTTAAGATCTCCGCGGTGTTTATGGCACGTATCTGCTTAATTTTGAAAATGATTTCGTACACAATTTTTTTAAAATTGATTCTTTATTACATTTCATTTCTTCTAATACTTATCTTTCTTGCCAAATTAATAATAAATATAATAACAGCGTAATTTTGTTGTCCGATCGATTTGATGGAAACACACATGTGCTAATTTACGCCGATTAAAGTGAAAGAAATTTTTCTCATCCCAATCAACACTTTATCAACTATAAAATCACATCCTCTTTTTGCGGCAGCGATTCATTTAACATCGACGATACGGAATGAGATTTGTCAAACGTCAAGAAGGCATACACTTCTGCCTTCGCACACAATTAATAAAATTGAACGAGTTATTATAACTGTAATCTTTGCCGATACAAACGTTTTCTAAAAATTAAAAGTTGTCGAAATACAATACATTACAGTTTAAATTACAATAATAATACGTTCGGGGTTAAAACTTTAACATTGGTTAACATTACGTGCGAAAATTGCAAGCGCACGAATATCGGAACATGGCAGAACGTGAGAGAATTTTGAAATTTAAATTCATTGTCACTTGAAATGCGCATAAGATATAACATCGTGACACAGTAAGCGTAAAAAATGAGTTTGAATTTATCTAAAGGCGTCGGTTTCCTCTTTCTTATCCGCAATAAAATTTGGATCATTTCGTATCTATCACTGTATTGCAAGGATCGAAATTGTATCATATTTTGTACGTATGTATATAATATACAGCTGTATTACATTTTCTCACGCTAGAAAAGAGTTCAGTAATTATAACGATAGAAATAACAATACAATTTAACCTCCTAATTAAGACAATCAGCAAAAAATTAATCCATGTTTTAAAAAGTTATTTTAAAAATGTCAATGATAATTGCGTTTTGACATCGCTGATGGCATTTTATTAAATTTTACGTAACGAAAGGTGAGTCACCATAATTATAAACGTTTACGACGAAAGATATGCAGAAACATAATTGCATTTGTGCAATACGTGTTTCTCTTCGTGTGCCTCCGGCACTAAGTTAATGATGTGGACCTACTTTTCAAGGCAGCCTGCGGCTGCGAAACATTCTGTAAATAAAATCGTGTCAAAATCTAGAACAGCAAAGCCGTTCTCCAACTTCGAAACGCGTTTTTTTTATGGTTGCGTTACAAAAAAAAACTTACGTACGTCTTTCGCTTTTACCGTATTCTATTCTTTACTTTCAATATCGCAATTTTCAAAATCTCAAACGAAATAACTTTTCGTAGAATATCCGAATATAATTGCGTGCTAATCGCGCAAGGCAACAACATAATAGTCAATCATATAATGACAATCTTGTTACATGTTAAAATTCTTGTGATAAATAATTATATAGTAGTATCATATAATGACAATCTTGTTACATATTAAGATTCTTGTGATAAATAATTCGTATGATTTATTAAAGTTATATATACAAAATTTAATAAATAAATTATAAATATAATTATAATATATTGACTTGGCTCATATAATTAAAAAAATAATGAAGTATCAAACAAAGGGCTAGTGAGCCTTGCACGAAGTTAGTGCCAAAATTACATATATTTAACACCAATAATTATCACCCAAACGTTTAAATATATGTAATTTTGGCACTAACTTCGTGCAAGACTCACTAGCCCTTTGTTTAATACTTTATAAATATAATATTATTATATTTAGCAACTATTTAAAACTATATATCTATAAGTATAATTACAAAGTATTTTATTAAAAAATATATATGTATACACATATTATCTATTTCAAAATATATATTTTAAATGAACAAAAAATATTTGTAGTTGATTATCTTTTAGAAAATGATACATGTTTAAGTCTCATAATAATCTTCCTAATGGTGCAGAGTAATTAAAGAAATTTGATGTACGGATACTGCAATTATTTAAAATTATATATATCTATATAATTATAAAGTGTTTTATTTCAAAAAATATGTATACACATATTTATCAAAATTATTTCAAAATATGTATTTTAAATAAACAAAAAATATTTGTAGTTAATTATTTTTTAAAAAATGATACATGTTGATATAAAACGATCATGTTTGGGTCTAATGATAATCTTTATAAAGGTGCAGAGTAATTAAAGAAATTTTATGTACGGATACAATTAAAATTATATATATTTATGTAATTATAAAGTGTTTTGTTTCAAAAAATATGTATACACATATTTATCAAATTTATTTCAAAATATGTATATTTTAAATAAACAAAAAATATTATATAGTTGATTATCTTTTAGAAAATTATACATGTTTTTATAAAACGATCCTGTTCGAGTCTCATAATAATAATCACCATAAATAGGTGCAGAATAATTAAAGAAATTTGATGTACTACAGATACAAACTGCGTAAAAAATTTGCCAAAACTATATAGTACGTATCTCGCGATATTAACGGACAGACAATTAATATACTCGCCGCTCGCGTCATTAGCGTGTGGAATGTTTTACGACGCGCGGCGATCGCCTGAGATCGCGTGAGGAAAAAAAAAACATCGTACGATGCATTATCGAAGAGCTTCCGCGTATCACGCTCGATCACAATACGTCACCGCATTTCAATCGTAATATAAGTTTCAATCTCGGGAGAGTCGGGAGAATATATGATCTCTTTCTCTTTTTTCAGTCTCTCTCTCTCTCTCTCTCTCTCTCTCTCTCTCTCTCTCTCTCTCTCTCTTTCTCCCGCCCTCCCCCGCGACTTAATTTTATCGATGAGCCGTTTTGCGCCGTTCTCGAAAGCGCGCCGTTATCTCCGCCGTTAGAGATCCGAAAATGTGTGTATCGCGCGCATTAAAAAAAAAAAAAGACGTCATCCTCGATTTGATATAGACTCACTTCTCCGATGCTCCGCCATTCTTGGTCCTTTTGAATCTTTTGTCGGCTACTCTGCTCGACGCGATAGTGCGCGATTCCCCCTTCGCCACCTTTTCGACACACACCTAGCCGAATATACCGCGGTCCGTTCCCCGCGGTGTGCGCGCGATGGCCTTGCCGCCAAAACGACACCGTCACTCGCGACTTTGAGGTTAAGCGACAATCGCGCGAGCGAACACGGACTACGTTTTTTCTCGTTTTCCTCTCCGCACCCGCGCGGTACTCCTCGTCGCCCTACCCCGAAGACTCGCCGTGTTGCCCCGTCCGCGCGATTTCCTTTATCGGCGCGATTAGTACTTGGACCGCTTAGACACGCGCTTGCTTTGATTTTGACTTTTTTTTTTTACGCGAAAGAGGAACAGAGAAAAAGCGAGAGAGACGCACATTTTCTCTTTCACGTATGAAATCTGTTCCTACGCAATTTTTCATGTATTTCATTAAAAAAAAAAAAAACGGAGCACGTGTCCTGGAGGAAAGGAGGGAGGAGAGACGCGAGAACGCGCGCCGAGGATTGGCGTTCGGAGATTTATTTTAATTGTTTTTCGATTTGTTTTGATGTCGAGAAACTGGATTTCGCGTTTGCATATACTGTGACATAACCGACATAACGATATAATTTTATGCGGCGTATCACGTCACGCAACACACACGCGCACTTGTCGCGTGTCAAATCGCGATTCGCGAATCGCGAAAACGGGATGCCGCCGATGGGCCGGTTGAAAGTGAAAGTGAACCCTGCCGCCATCTGGTCGCCCGTGGCTGCACTTTCTCGAAAGCTGACTACTCACTTAACCTCACTTTACGCGATTGTTTTCTTCACGCGATTTTTGTTGTCGCGGCGAACTCCGGCAGAAGCTCTTTGCAGGAAAAAATTAATGTACGCCTACAAGAAAAGTTTGACAGCTATAAAATTATATCTTACCAAGTACAGTCGTGCCTCTTTATGTCGATGTAAAAGTTACATGCGTTCGATTCATTCCGAATCTCATTGAGAATCTTAACCTCACTTTGTCGAAAGAACTCACAATTTTACGTTATTTTACTGTAATAATTATTTATATAATGTTCTCGTTTACATGATATTATATTTACAATATTTATGTTAATGTCACAGAGAGAGAGAGATGAAATTGACGTCGATATTGTTTCGTAACGCGAGACAACCACAGAATGAGAACAAGGTACCTTTCAAGGCGATTTTGCCGCTAAAATTAAGGGATTTCGTGAGCTCGAAGGGTCAAAAGAATGCAGGTACATTCGAAGAGCAATTTTGTTGCACCCTAGTTTTACGTACAGTCGTGGACAGATAGGTTGCGACCCATTTTTTTTTTATATAGGTTTCTAATATATATTTAATGTACGTAATATATATTTCATATAAATATATTAAAATATAAAATATTAGATGACTAATATTTTGCAAATGCGAACCACGATGTACTATCTTTAGTCTAAAGAGAACAGTATAACACCAATCGCGTGGTCCGCATTTGCAAAATATTAGAGGCGTTTTGAAATCTATAAAAAAAAAAATGTCGCAATCTATTTGTCCACGACTGTACTTACGTTTGTTGGGATACAGCTGATCGTGGAGTTGTGAGCTTCGCTCTGCATGTTTCTCCGCATGTCTCATTATTTGTTATAATTAACAGTAATATCAATATTCCAGAAGACTTCATAATTAATAGTAATATCAATATTTCAGAAGACTTCATAATTAACAGTAATATTAATATTCCAGAAGACTTCATAATTTCACTGTATTTTTGTTTCCAGAAACGCAGGGATGTTTACATGAAATGACCTTGCTTCTGAGGTGTCTCGAGGAGAATGACCCTGAGAACAAGAGATGTATCCCGCAGTTGAATGCATTGAATCAATGTTACAAGACTTATGGCGACAGTACGAAGCATGGGGGGGTACGGAAGCGTGCTTCCGTGAAGGAGCAATCTGTGCCTGTACCCAACAGTAAGAACCTCACACACAAACAGATTACACATCTCTTACGAAGATATCCAACGGTATAACGCCCTTCTCCCTGTAGTGCTTCATTCAATGTCGTCAACATGTATTGTGAAACAATTTGAATCGTTACTTTTCATGCAAATGCATAAAATGTTTCTGTACATACTTATGTGTGAAGATCGATAAATAGCTTTATTTCAATTTATACAATTGTTTGTTAAAACGTGTACATGATGATTTTTTTTTAATTTAAAATAATTATTTTTCATTTGTAACATCGGCGATGTCCTCCCGATGTTTATCTGACACCGTTTGCAAACGTTTCAACGCGAGCCGTTTCGAGTAACCTAAACGTAATACGTAATTTATTATGCAGGAGAGCACTGAGATCTCACTTTACAAAGTTGTACGTCAGATACATACGGATTGGTTCAATGTTGGAAATAATTGTAGTTTTCTGTATGACATCCAACTGCTGCTCGATTCTTCGTAAAGCCTTATAATTCTCCAACTGTCCGTCTTTGTAGTAGTAATATGTACAGAATAAGGTTACAGCACAAAGTGTTAAGGCAATTTTTCTGTACAACCATGTTGTACTCAGCAGGTGCACCTGTGAGAGAAAGTGAAAAGGTGTTTATTTTATGAAAAAAAAAAAAAAAATTTTTTTTAACATTAACGGTAACGATAACGTCGTTATTTAATTTAATAATAATTTATTGCTATCTCTAATATGCTCAATATAATATCATATAAATGTGAACATTGTATGAATAATTATTACAGTAAAATAATATCAAATTGTGAATTCTTGCAACAAAGTGAGGTTAAGATTCTCAATGAGATTCAGAATGATTGAACGCATATAATTTTTTTTTATATAAAGAGGCACGACTTGGCAAGATATAGTTTTAGTTGTCAAACGATTTTTGCTAGGCGTACATTAATTTTTATAACAAGGGTAACGAATTTATCGTTATCTTTATCGTTACTTGTTTATTCTTTTACTTATTTTATATTCTGAATTTATTTTTTGAGAACTATTTTGTCTATATCTCTCAGGCTACATTCTGATTACCTTGTCGTCTGGAGACTGAAGAGTAATCTTGTCGTAATACTGAACGAGTATTCTCTCAGCCACTATATTTAAGCTTAGGATACTAAAGAGCGTGACTCTTGCGTCGACCGTTCTTTTCGAGGCACTGAACAACGCGCAGAGAATACAGCTGACGGTGTAGAATATAATGGATTGAAACCAGGACACCTCTCCCATGATCCAGCCTTGGAAGGTGCGTATATACGAGAAGATCTCATAGAGCAGCTCCTTCTGGTCTTTAGCCGATTCTCTGAAATGGATTTAAGAGCTTGAAATCGACATTTCGTAGCAATTATTTACACGTTTTTGTTATTTACAAAATTTTCAAACGTTACAAGAGTCATCTTTACAAACTCACTTGAAATCCGACACCATGTTGCTGACCGTCTCGGACGAGGTTTTTAGCACAGTCCCGAGTTCTTTGCCGTGATCGAGAAGCTCGTTCTGAATACGCAAACCCTCCTTCTGACTGTTCAATATCACACCTTGCATTTCCGATGCTTCCAGTAGTTGATCCTTCATTCGGGAGGACACTTGAAACAGTCTAGATTTAAATGTGGAAACAAATGGATTTCTCATTTTTGTTTGTATCTTACTAATGTGTAAGAATATTCTTAGGATATTGCATATTCGTATTATTTACAGCTTTATAGTGCTATCAACTTCAGTTTGCCAAGCCTCGTGATTCAAAAAGAAACAGATGTGAGTTGCGTGAGTGTAGAATTCGTTGTAAACACTGAACGCCCGGTCTGCCATGCCGCCAATGCAGTTCCTGCGAAATAAATATCAGCCGACTGTTTTCGCACGAGCTTGCAGGCGTAAAACATAAGTGATCGATAAAGGAAAAAGAATACTTGTTTTTACCGACGCTCGTCTTCGGTTTCACTGAGATGGCAGTCGTAGGTCGCGTGACCAGAATCCTCCAGGAAACAGTTTGCCAGGCTCAGGGCGAGAAGCGAATGCTCGTGGTCATTCAGTTTGTCGCAATTGTGCTCCAACGCTTGGATCGCGGTGTGCCAACATTTTCCGTGCTGCGGCAACGATGACTTCGCTGAAAGGATGTGCTTTTTGTCAGCTAATCACATATTTATCAGTTCTCGCTCTGTTTTAACTCCTCTCTCACCTTTTATCAAAGAATATTCTCTTTCTCCCAAATCCCTCAGGACCATATTGCCACTGCAGGTGGCCCATATTTCATGAGTGACGAATAATAAAAGCCAAATCATCTTGAAATCAAATGTACGATCCCCTCAGATTTTGCAAGTTTTCAGAAAATATGTACGGTCCTACATTCTGTCGAATGAAACAAAACTTCTGTTGCATACTATGTATATAGAAAATCATATCATTTATATGTAACAGCTCAAAGGGTGGGTGAAAAGTGACGAACAGAAACAATCGCACCAGTCATTTAAAAGGCAAAATTAATCGTAAAAATATGGATGTGATTGATAATCATTTGCTTAACGAATCCACGGATCCAAGCTCTTAATTGTATATTGCGGTCATCCACATCATCCACACATCACATACATACACTTTTGAACGATAACGTGATAAACAATTGAAGAGGAAAAAATTATTTAATTAAAATTTCAAATTCGAAATCTATCGAAGGTAATTGAAATTAACAAAGCTTAAATGTATACGGGGGTTGAACCACTTTATTGACTCGGAAACACTGCGAAAATTTAAAAAAAGAGAGCATAAAAATAATTTTGATTCTCGATATTTGCGAACGAGAATCTGCACGACACTAATTAGCTTTTTGAGCCGCGTATGCGATTGATTAAAGCACACATCATTCTCACACGATATTTACGTTGATTATTTGAAGTTGCTGATGGCAGTGACGCATTTTAGGCGAATTCGAGCGACGAATTCGCATAGGTACATATTTAGATTTAAAAACTCGAGAAAACACTAAGCTGCAGCGTCGGATTTTGAATCGGCTTTGCAACGGACACAGTTCCTCGATTGGCGCAATCGCGGATTGACCGTAAACAGCTGCGCCGGCCGGAGTCGCCGTACATTAGCGCCCTCGCGAAGCTCAGCGGCGGCAGGAGGAAACGGGGAGAAAAAGCGTCGAGGGTAACACGGGGGAAGAGATGCAAGAGATCACGTCGTAGAAAGAAGGAAACCCGTGGGGGGAGGGGGGAACGGAGGCTGCACTTTTTTTCGTGCTCCTCGCTCGAATGCAGAAAGTGCAACTGGAACGCGTTCGATCGAGAGCCGCCGACCGTTTCGAGAGTCGCGATATCGCGATTTCTCGAACAGTGGCCGGCCACACAGTGGGACGCGTCGTGACGAAACCGCGAGGGTCGAGGGATTCGAATGGTTCCGCGTCGCTCGTCGAGATTATCACCGCGGGTCCACAAAGTGAATCGAATATTTGCCTCGTAAAAGCGTCGGACGCTCAATTCGACATTGGACGATGTAAGACTTAATGTGGACTCAATATGACTCAATTCGACTCGATGCGATGAGAAAGAGAGAGGGATCGTCATTGCACGCCGCGGTCCTTAATTTGGTATTAACGATTTGGACGATTCGAACGGAATCTCCTGGAATCGAGCAACATCGTCAATGTCGGTCATTTCCTCGTCGAATACAAGCAGAGCTCGCAGCAGTTGGCAGGTGCGCTATCGTCAAATATATATATATATACTTGTAGCTTAATTTTGCGTCAATTTTGCTCCCTTTGAATCTTCTTCTCGCTAAAATCAATCGTCGCGACAGTTATTATTGTCAACTTTACATTTGCTTCGGCAAGCAGTGCCGACGAATTTTTGCACTCTTGCATTTGAAATCTGACGCCTTAACAATCTTAACTCTCTCTGCCTGTTTTAACCGCTTGTTTCTTACATCGATTCTCCACGAATGCTATTTTATGATATATTTATATCACGTTTATAATTTTTGAACTGACGCGTGCGATATTACATGTGTCGATCGAACATACCCAAGTTCCTCATTGATTCCGTAGCGCTAAAAATTCTCCAGAATTACGGATTTTTTAATACTGTTTTGATGATTATCATAAAATGTCTTATAGGTTCATATAGGATCATATCCATAATGTATAACATTATATTAGTTGCGATATAAAGATAAAAATGGATTGATATGATCCTATATATAACATACAATATTATTATGTAATATATATTTATTCAATAAATATACAGGGTGATCCAGGTCACCCGGAGGAGCCGGCATCTACGTATTCCTCATGAAAAACTGAATTGAAAATGTTAATAGCAAAATGTTGAGGTGTCAATAGTTTTTGAATAGTGAGCTGTTGAAACTGTCAAACCATAAGGCATTAAGAGCGCACCGTCAGGTGTGGCGCATTAAATCGACGATCGGCCGGCGCGCGACGGGTACCGCTAAACGGCACGGTGCCGAACGAATACTGCAAAGGTTTGATGAAATCTCTATTAACATTTATTGCTCTTATTCTTAATTTGAGTCCAATATAATTGTAGAAAAGTCAATCGCAAATTCAACATCATTTATATTAATAGAATAAGTATGAACTCTTAAAATACATTTTATGTATTTTAAAACAATTAAATTAATTAATTAAAATTAAAATTAAATTATTTAATTAAGTAATATTAAAAACATCAATCGACAAACATTTTTTATTATTTCCCTTTCCTGTCAGAAAAGTGAAATAATAAAAAATGTTTGTCGACTGATGTAATTAATATTACTTAATTAAATAATTTAATTAATGTTGATTTTGTTTATTAATTTATTCGTTTCTAAATTAAATGAATTTAATCGTTTCCTGTCAGGAAAGTGAAATAATAAAAAATGTTTGTCGACTGATGTTTTTAATATTACTTAATTAAACAATTTCATTAATATTGATTTTGTTTATTAATTTATTTGTTTATTTTATTTTTAATTAATTAATTTGATCGTTTTAAAATACATAAAATGTATCTTAAGAGTTCATACTTATTCTACTGATATAAATGATGTTAAATTTGCGATTGACTTTTCTACAATTAAATTGGACTCAAATTAAGAAAAAGAGCAATAAATGTTAATAGAGATTTCATCGAATCTTTGCAGTATTCGTTCGGCACCGTGCCGTTTAGCGGTGCCCATCGCGCGCCGGCCGATCGTCGATTTAATGCGCCGCACCTGACGGTGCGCTCTTAATGCCTTATGGTTGGACAGTTTCAACAGTTCACTATTCAAAAACCATTGACACCTCAACATTTTGCTATTAACATTTTCGACTCAGTTTTTCATGAGGAATACGTAGATGCCGGCTCCTCCGGGTGACCTGGATCACCCTGTATATAATTATATCATGTAAAATAATGATAATAATGATATGCAGTATTAGCAACCAGAGATAAGTTTACGAGCATAAGATAGGAAAGTAAACGTGTACAAAATATTAAATGATCATTTAAAGCGTTAGAGTCAAAATCTCGTTTAACGAGTTCTTAATTTTTACAGCTACATTAACAGAATTAATTAACCCGAGAATGTCAGTTTCAAACATCATATTAGCAATTAAAAGTATGTATATTTTATAATTGATTCAATTTGTTTCTTTATTCACATACGTATTTATTACAATAATATATAGAATTTTAATATGAATAATAAATACATACACATGTGCTTCGTAAAGAATTTATCAGCTTTATTATTGACAGTTTAGTGAATTTATCACGATTTAATGCCTTCGTTAGTAAAAATTTTAACCTTTAAATTCAATTTATGTAGAACATGTCATCTTTTAATTTTTACTTTAATAATTCTTTAAAATTTTGATATTACATTCAGCCAGATCATGTAGACAATTTTTGATTATCGTCTATGTCGACGATCGGAAATTCACTAAAATTATCATTATCAGGTCACATTAATGGTTTTTCATTACCCATTTAATTGCTGCCGCTCAAGGTGGCAAATATTATCGGCTGCAATGCTCGACATCGATTTAACGAGGGTACATCGGTGCGCCATTAAATCCGAAAAGCGAGACCGCCGTGTGTGTGTCGAAGAGGAGGGGGGGGGTTTCGCGATCGAAGCGGCGTCGCGGCGCCGCCGCTGGCGAAACGCCAGCGTCGCTTGCCATTGAATTCGCGCGGACCGAAAATAAGTGAGTCGGTACGGTAAACATCGCAGGCGGTACAGTGACACGTACGGGTTCGATCTCCTCGCGCTTGCCTCTTAAAGACCGGTTTAACCGAACGCGAGCGCGGGGACATTTCGGGATCATTGTTCGGCTGTCCTCCCTGTAACTCGCCAACGAGAGACGGCCAGCCAGCGGCCAGAGGCGTATAGCTGCAGAGGGATGCAGCGTATGCACGCGTGCACACATACACGCGCGCCGTGCGTTTGTGTCTGATCTATCGGACGAACACATGCAGCTCTCTTTGTTTCCTGCAGAATTGGCGATGATTGGCGCTTGTAATAATAACGTTAACAACCATCAAAGACTGGTGAAATTAGATGATTCAATCTCTGCCTGCATGCGATATCAATTTAATTTTAACATCACACGGAAAGAACGATTTTATTGGAAGGTCTAAAAGTTTTGCTGGATACAGATCTGAAAATTAATTCTTGTCATGAATCATCAAAAAATTTTGTTGGAATGTTAAAAATGCAATTGCTTATAAAACGTTTCGATATTCTAGCAATTATTTTGTCTTTTCCCACAAAATTATTTTGATTATTGAACAAAAATCATTTTCTGATCTGGATTCAGCAAAAGTGTTCTTTCCGTGTAAATCGGTTTTAACGCCCACAAAAAATATTTAAAGAAAATCCGTTAGTCTCCTTTGTTTAAATCTTGAATTTTTATTCTTATTCTATCTTTATCTAAGATCTTTGTTACAAGCAGACAGATAAATATTATAGCGTTATTAATGTAATTTTTATGCTCGTGCATTTGCACTGGTTATCTGATTATTTTGAATATCACTCCAAACAATTATTTTGACTTTCCCACAAAATTATTTTGATTATTGAACAAAAATTATTTTCAGCTCTGTATCCAGCAAAATTGTTGCAGTTCTAATATCTCTATTTAATTTCTGAATTCTTTTGTTGCTCTACATGGATATTAATAGCATGCAAACAAAAGAAAAGATATATAAGAAAATATTATACGTATAAAGTACGAAATGTACCTTACATGCTTGAGAAATTGGGAAGACACATCTAATGGGGAAAAGCTACGCCGCTAACCTAATAACGTAAAGTCGCGAGTGACTTATAATGGATGATTATGCTCTCCTTGACTATTACGTTTATTCTCGGTGACATTTGGAATAGTCGGCGGAATAGACTGTTTAATAGATTGTCTTTATACGACCGGTGTTTCGTAATGCTTTTGACGTCAGTTCCCCCGTGATTATTATATTGTTACCGTCGCTCCTACAACTCCCTGATATAAGATATATTAATCAAGCAACTGAACATCCGACCCAATGGCATTACGCACGCACTGCGTTGTACAAAAACGTGTGTATACGCACAGTTACACGATCGACAAGTGGAAAAATCACCGCGCGATTTATAGCGGAATACGTATGTGCAATGTGTACATTTGACGTATGCATACACGGAAAAAACAATTTTACTGAATCCAGATCTGAAAATAATTTTGTGTGAAAGTCAAAATGATTGCTAGAATATCAAAACGTTTTATAGCAATGCTTATCAGTTTTAACATTCCAACAAATTATTTTGATAATTCAACAAAAAATTACTTTTAAATCTGTTTTCAGCAAAATTTTCAGACCTTTCAACAAAATCATTCTTTCCGTGTATACGTTACACATCCTTTTCACCCACGCGGTCCCTGATTTATTGCATAACTCCTCGGGATCTCCTGTCGGGAAGACGCTCAGCTTCCCTTTCTCGCGCAGCCCGCGGCGATTTAATTTAATGGGGGCAGCATTGTGCAGTGTGCGAAGACTAAAAATTATCGATATTCCGCGTGGCGGACGAGTGATCTCAAGGCCGCAGACGGCGATCGATCATCGGGAGAAAC